CCCGCTTTGAGTCTGATCGGTTGTCTTAGGTCGATCACTCACTCTTTCAGGTCTAATTGATCATCCAGGATCGATCACCCAGCCGATCACTTAGATACTTTTATGCTTTCTTGTATGTTGCATGGTTTCTCTACATGTGTATGAAAAATCTTTTGACTTGATGTCTATGATTTATTTCATTCCAAGTAAAATATTTATGTATGCTTTGCACATGGCATGTCTTGGATGTCTCCTTGAGCATTCTTATTTGGAGTGTCTCTCTGAGCCCCCTCACCTTGTGATGTCTCTTTGAGCACCCATGCTTGTGAGTGTCTTCTCTACATACGCCATTATATGCATAGAAAGTAGATACTTACAAAATTTGGGAGAAGATGGCTCACATGTAAAGCCTCATGCCTCATTCCCCATGACACTACCAAGAATGTCGTGGGGTATTTCACATCATGTTGAATACGAGTTATGCTTCACAACCATAGAACTTTTATGAGGCACAATGTGTGTCCACCTAAGTATGTGATTCTCACTCGTAAAAATCATATGACTCAGCATATTTTGCACTTTGCATCTTTGCATGTTTGACATTTGAGTGTTATTTGCATGTCGTATGCTTGACATTTCTCATATGTCTCCTACATTTATGTATGTTGGACTTATCTCATTTGTCTTGCTACATATCTTACACGTTTACATTGGTGCTCGGTGAGTGCCTCTCGGGTAAGGTATAAATCGGTATTATAGGCATCTTTTTACTCAATGCATGCTCACTTGTACTCGGTGCATGCTTTTCGCATGACGCCTCGAGTCCTACGGACAAGTGTAATTCCTTTTTATGTATTATAGGCATCTTTTTACTCAATGCATACTCACTTGTACTCGGTGCATGCTTTTCGCATGACACCTCGAGTCCTACGGACAAGTGTAATTCCTTTTTATAGGCAGTCTGTTTGTATCAGTACATCTCATTCATGTGTGTCATGTTGTGTGTAGGCATCCTTGCATTCATTTGCATGATATGTGTTTCACCTTTTTGGGTGCCCGTTGTGATTGTTTCATGCTTCGATCAAACAATCACAATGTGGGCCTTTTGCATGTTTGTATGCTTGCCAATTCGCCTTGATTGCTTAATCTACTTGTTAGGAGAGTGACCTGTTTGTTGGTTATGACACTCAAACGAGCGTTGCCAGAGAGGATATCTTGGCGAGCAATGCAAGTTTATGTATCACGAGAAACAAACAAAATGACTGTGCTAAATATCCAATGACTCCAAAGCATGTCACTTGATTCTCCAGATCTGCTATTAGTGGTCCATTATCTAAAAATATAAAAAATGGATATTTTGCTAATATAAGTATTATCCACCTTACTCTAAAATTAGGCTATATATGAAGCCACCTCTTTTAAATGTCGCCCCTTTCTTGTGATGTGCTTCAGATCCCTTAGATCTTTAGGGCGAGGCTGGTGTGACGACCCCGTTAAATTCATATAGTAACCGGAGACTTTACCCTATGCACGTAAATGATGGTTAAGATAATTTCTTTTATATGGTGTGTTAGGCTGGGACTAAGATGCTAGATAATATTTTTGATGTCTGACTATTGTTCTTTGTTGGCTTGGTTGCCCTGACTAGACATATTTCTTGTTTTGTACTTTTGATGTGCTTGTGTGTGTCGATTTTTAATATGCATGGCAGTATATTAGCTCAGTCTTATGCAGAAAGCCATGCCATATATATGCACACACACAAGTATAATAAAAAGGGAAAGCATATGATGATTTACATGCTAACTTTTGCTTGTAGGCGCTTCTTAGATCCCTTATCAGGCATGGCTCAGACAGTGTATGTAGATAACTTTCTGTGCTAAAATATTTTCGTGCAGATCGAGTCCTTTTTCTTATTTTCCTATGTACACTTTAGAGTCCATTGAAGAGCCTTGTAGAGGAAATAAGATACGAACATGGGTAGCGAGGCATTTTGGTGTGGGAACCACGTGGCGGGCGACCGGGAGCAGTTGCTCATGTCTCGTATCTTAATTCTGCAAGAATTAGGACCAAACATGTAAATCCAGAGTTTGACCGCTATTTTTCTTTTATGGGATATGTTGTCAACCCAGTAACACCAGCCTCTTATTATTTTGATTTGGTTTGTTTTCCTAATGTATTGCATTCTTGATTGCTTGAAATGAATCATTATTTTCTTTCTATAGGTTGTTTGGAAATCATGAATGCAATATAGGCTCTTTATGATTTAAAATTCTAAATTTGCTATAAAATCTTAATAAAATATTCAAGATAAGGAATATTTTAGGATTAAAATATTCAAGACTTTAAAATTCGCACTTTTACTTTCTTGTATGTCATTTGGGCTGGATTTTAAATGGCTCGCATGTGTGGCTATCACCCAAGTCATATAGTAGGGCCACCAGGCTTAGGATTTTGGTAGATAATTGCATTCATATTTGCATGTCCTAAAGAGAAGCCTCCCAAGCTTCTTCAACACGACTGGCCCAATATAGAAATCTACTTATGTGGTTGTCTAGTGTGCTTAGGGTGTTAGAGGCTGCCCAACCCAGACAGAGCATAAGTCGTTTGTGGAGTGTTTACAGCTTTGTCGTTGTACCTCTTCTTTCTTGCCCAACCCAGATAGAGCATAAGTCGTTTGTGGAGAGTGTTTACAGCTTTGTCGTTGTACCTCTTCTTTCCATTCTTCCTTGAGGCAACTCTGTCATCTGTTTGGCGAGTGTGAGTCCCACCACTTGAGCTCCTCATTGTAAGTCATAGGACTAGAATTTTCTTCTTTTGACTGTAAGGCTATTGAGGTTTCCCATGAATGTAATTCACAAATTGTTGACTGGAGATCTTTGAACATGTTTGGTTAACTACCTGCACGATCAGATGGATTTAGGGTCCCAGTAGCTTTGGATGACGGGTCTGTGGTACCCGAACCCGACTACCACTACCTTTTAGGATTACTCTACCCTTCCTCTTAATAAGGCCCTTTGAGCATTTGACTTCGTTGATATCACCTCGATGACCTAATTATTGATGTTCTGTCGCCCATTTGGGATGCAGTGATTTAACCTCTGCTCTTATGACTGACGTATAGGGATATCACTATCGAGATGATTTTGGTTATTTCGTAGGTTCTAATGTCGTCAAGTCGCTACTCATTTGGCATGTGAGAGACCCATTCTCTGTCTTGTGGCTTAGCGAGAGTTTTGAAAGCATTGAGATTCTCCAATATGAAATAACCTTCCTTTGATTGTCTATTCCCCATGTTCATGATAATATAAGTGAAACTCGTTTTATGAAGAGTATTCTTGAATATCCCCCAGAATGTAATTAACTAGAGAGATGCATTCCTCTGGGAGACTCTTGACGCCAGAACAAAAATATTATTATTGGTTCTTTGATTACAGGTGGTTATGCAGGGATTTTCTTCATGGATTTGGGCTTCAAGGTATTTCGATCTGATCATGTTCGAACGTATATTCTCGACTCATCACACGAGCATTACTCATATATAAGTCTTCTGCTTGTTTCTTTTTATTTATTTTCCTATTTGTCGTTGTATATCCTTCTTCTTGTTCTGTTCTCTTTGAATCATTGGTATGATTCTAAAGAGAGATATATTCGAATAAAGAAATTATAAGATGACATATAAATAGACAAGCTAACACTCTAAGTCTTCAAAAAAATGGAAAAAAACTAATCTGACGACTCTGGGTCTCAAAAAAGAACCGAGAACACATTTAAGTTTTGTATGCAGGTTTTACGAGCTCTTCCTTTTTATTATGATATTTTTGTTGTTATGCAAGTGTATATAATTTTTCTAATGACAGATTTGGCATGGATATGTTATTTCTTTTGTGGCATGGATATGATAAGAATATAGTTGTGCAAGATTTTCACTTAATCGAATTATAGATTGCACAAAAATAAGAGAAATTTTTGAAAACTTGTTGAATTTTCTTCTTTTTTTTAGATGCCAATAAATTTCTATGTTGTAATAACTTATTTTTTGAGACATGATTTGTAAATTGTAATTGTGATCAATTTTAATGAAGCAGTACATTTTTATGTAATACTTATTCATTTGTGATAGTAAATTTATTTTCTTTTTTTTTTCAAAAATAAATACACAATTTGCCTTCAAAAAAATCTAATACACATTTGATGATGTAACTGTAATCTCCTAAATGTATAAGATAATAATAACATTTTACATCTAAGAAATTTGTTTAAGCAAAGATTTTTCACCCAAAATTTAATTTATAATTAATTTAAAATTTTCATATTTAAAATATTTTTCTATTCATATTTTGAGCCAAACACATAATTAAAAATTAATGAATCAAATACAAATAGAATGTTCACGAGCCAAACATGAACAATAGTATTTTTTCAACGAGCCAGACACTTGCCATGCCTTGGCTAGCTCAAGCTCTCCGACCACAAAGATAGTATCTTCAATGTATTCTATATGTATTCAAATATGTTAGAGTTTACTGCTAAATTCGCTCAAAATAAAAAATAAATAACCAGCTAAATAGAAAAATAAAATAAAATGCATATTGTAGTATCCAAAAAGAAAGAAAATTTCAGCCCAATCATAATATAATATGCAGAGGTCTATTTGATTTAAAAAAGAGATTCCGCCCTCTACATTTTCAAGATCACTTGAATTTTGGACGGAAAAAGTTATTGTTCCATAAAATTCGTAATAGACACAAAGCAGTCAAAGTATAGAAAGAACCATGAGAAAAAAACAAACTTTCCAACAAGAAATAAGATGGCTTGGAAAACTGAGAAAATGGATAATGAAAATGCATAGATCCCAGAAAAAGATTTCCCAAAGGGCATTCAAAGTTCTTCAATTGCATGTTAGAATATGATTTTTTTATGAATAACCATAACAAAATACTAATAAATTAAAGATATCTCATAAATGCAGAGAACCCAAAACCAAAAACAGAAAAAAACAAAAAATTCTTCTGCTAAAATGCACCAAATGTCAAAACTTAATCATGCCATCTGGCAAAAATGGCGGCTAGTTTCGGTACAACAGCAACAAAATGAAATTATGTTTAGTCACTAAATTTTAGAAGTATCGACTGCTGAGGGACTGACCTGAACCTTCACTCATCAACATGTGATGCAGAATGGGTTGGGAATCTCCACATGATATCAGCCCAGGTGCTTTGACCATCTGTAACTTCCTTCACCACAGAAGCCACTTCATCAATTCTCACACGAATTTGCTCCTTGCTATCTCTCTCGCGTATTGTCACACTTGAAGTGGAGTCGACGGTGATTGCGAAAGGAACACCAATCTCATCCGTCCTTGCATAGCGCTTCCCTATCGATGTGCCTACGGTACAAAGAAGGACTGAGAACAAGCTGCCCCTAAATCTCCGTCAGAATCACATATGAATGTAGAATGTGGCATTTACATACATACCATCCAATTCTACCTATCTCATAAAAAATGCCACCATTTTAACTTGAAAAAAGGTGAAATACATATTTCATGCATAGGTAAGGTGGTATGAATGTAAAAATTGAAGTTTAGGTGTTAGATACATAAATATATAGGAATTGATTGGGGCGTATGTCAATCTTCCATAAAAATATCCAAGGGTGGAAGTTGACAGCCAAACACTACACCAGAATAGGATAGTAGAGGAACAAACATTGTTTAATTTTGAAAAGCTACTTGTAAACATACCAGTGATGTCAATAATATGAGATATCCCAGCAGACCTCAGGGATCTCGCAATGACTTTGGCCACCTCATCGAACTGCTGGCTCTTGATCAGAGGAAAAACAGTGCATTTGATAGGAGCTACGAGAGGAGGAAATCTGAACACATTCAGTTGCTCGTCTTCCGACTTGCTTGGCCTTGTATAGAAGGAATGCTCAAAGAGGCAGTAAATAATCCGTCCGATACCAAAGGAAGGCTCGATAACAGATGGAGTAAAGACCCGCTGGTGCTCCTTTTTCTTTTCGATGCTGATTGAGACCATGTTTTTCTTTATAATGACTGATTTGCCCAGAGTGCAAACTTCAAATTCTACTTCTCCTTTAGATTCAAGCGCAGCTTTTATTTCTAAAGCTTCTGCATGGTTCAGGGCCTGTTCATAAAGCAAGAAATAAACTAAAAACTATTTTGGCCCAGAAGCAGATTAGTGTTGCCGCAGAACTTGTGGTTAAAAATATGCAGCAATTCAATAGCTTACCTCTAATGCTTCAACGACCATCTTTTGGTTGCCCTTGAATGCAAGGCCCAACTCTTTCTTTGATGGAGTAATCACTAGCTTCTGAATTCATAATATAACAATAATCTCAATGACAAGAATAATCATCTGTAAATCAAGCGAGCGCTTACTTCAATAAACTAAGAGACTATAATGTAGGAAGAGTGACCGCTAGTTGTGCTAGGCAAGGAAAAGGAGAAAAGTAAAAATAACTCACCTCAACTTCTCTGGGTTCTGGATACTTCTCATGAGCAACCAGCGGAACACCACTTTTGTCCTGTTAAAATAAATTTAATTTGCACAAAAACTTAGTATACAACATCCACTTTTTCAGCAGAAATGCTAGAAAAGAAAAAATAAATAATTGATCGGAAAGGAGCCCCCTCACAAAAAGAATATTTAAAACATAGGAAAACAAATAAAATAAAAAAGATCACTTCGATACAACGTCCGAGTGAAATACAAAGTTTCCTCTTTTGTTTTTTATTGCAGGCATATTTTACAAACAGCTCTCACTTCAAATCCTTTTCACCATTTCAACCTTCTTCTAGAAGAGATAGAAATCCTAACATTTTTATGCTTTTCGTTAAATAATTTGTGAGCCTACCGTATGAGCACGTAAATCATAGGCGGATCTATCTGCAATTCCAACACATTCAATCCATCCATACGAACACTCTATCTCAGCATCCCAACAGTCTGCAGCATAGTGAGCCATCTCATTTGGTAAATGCTGCCGAAAACGAAGGCGTTCTTTGTCGATACCAAGGCGGGTCAGGAAGAGGTATACTCTCCCAATAAAGTAACCGAGAGTCTCATTGTTGACGGTTCCCTACAGGTAAAGCAATAAAGATATTAGATGATACAGATAAACTGTAAAAAGAATGATTGAAAACCAAGAACAACATTGCAGCAAATAATGACAAGAAATAACATAACAAACAAACCTTCCTAACAGCTTCTCCAATAACCATTGGTTTTGCTGATTCGCCTGTCATTTGCAGTTCCCTTGGAAACATCAGGAACTCTATGTCAGCCACATCAACAAACTTAGGATGGGATTTGTCTTCAGGATCCACAAAATGCTCAATCTCTGCCAATGTGAACTCACGAACTCTCAGCAGGCCTTGCCTTGGTGAAATCTGGTGCAAATATGATTTATTTGTTGAGAAAAACAATTCAAACTACCACAGTATAAATGCCTAAGTATATGCCACGGCCTCTAAGTAAAACCTCTGATGCAAAATACCAAAAACATTTCCAGTATGCTTTTTATTGTCACAATTTTTGTTTGTGGGCAAAAAATGCAGCTAAATCAATCTTTTTAGTTTGGATCAGTTAAAATTTGACTTCATTAAAGTTTCACATTTTGTCTAAACCGATTTATTTGCTTTCATTTAATTTGATAGCATATAAAACCAAAATAAACCAAATTTAACCAATTAATCACAATAAAAAAAATTACATTTCTAAACGCTAATCAAGTAATTCCATCTAACAAATAGCAACAATTAAAACATCAAACCGGATTTGACCAGCTGGTTTATGCAGTTCAAACCTGAAACAGTGCCTCAGACAGCCAAATCTACTAACGGAACCACCAAAAAAAGGTCCAGAATCAAAATAGTTAGAGATGATGTCAAATGAGGAATAGTAAACCAATAGAGGCTACATTGAGCAGCCTAATTCTCATCAAGATCAAAGCATCATTGTTTATGTTTCATCAAACAGTTAAAATTTAATTTTGATATTTAAAAATCTAGAATGAATAAAGGATTAAAATTTTTGAAGTAAGAAAACCCTAACTCGAGTTTTCATAAAGTCTCAACTTCGCCACCTCTAAATATTGATCCAGTAGTCACAGCCTCGCCCTTCAATAGCTCTGATGATTTGATTTTGGTAGATTTATCAGTGCCGCTGGTTCAGCACTCACAGTTTCTTGATCCCACAGTCGAAATTCTTGCTTCCTACTCAAATAATATTAGTTTATATCATAGTTTTTGTCATGGCAAGTGCATCAGCATATTTACCTGTAATGCACTTTAATGTTTGCATTTAAGTGTTCCACAAGTTAGAAAGAGATGTTGACCTTCATTCTGACTGAATTATTTTCTCCTCATTTACACCTAATTTTGGTATCCAATAAAATTAGCATGTGAACTTTTAAAAATTTTGGATGTTTACTTCTTGTGTATTGCATAAAATACATAGATCTTATATAAGCTAGTCCCAAATCTTGTAAAAAAAAGAAAGCAATCTAGCAGTCACTTAAATATTTAATGTGCTTAAACTTAATATTCTAAAAAATATTTTAGGTAGGAACTATGTTTCGCAAGGTAGATCTTTATTTTTTAAAACATTCCTATATTATTTAAGTCATATTTAAGTAGTTTAAATATTTATTACATAAACTTAAGATTTGAAAAGCAGACTAGCAAGGCGAAATGTAAGCCTTAAAATAAAATAAAATAAAATAAAATAAAAATTAACAAAATTAAGGATAACTTGTAAAATATTGTCACAATAAAGAAAAATGACATGTTTCTTCTGGGGAAAGCAAATGTTTTGATTTTTAAACAAAAAATAAAGTTATATAAAAAAAATTTAATACAATATCAACAAATGAAAGAAGCCTAAGAAAAAAACAAAGATATGTATGTACTATAAGAACAAAATGACAATAACCATAATAAAAATAAACCATATTTTAACTTAATAATAGCAATCATAAAGAATGATAGTGTTATAAGAAAATAAAAATAATTAAAACTTCACATAAATAGAGACTCTGGATCAACTTCTATCTCTCGCACTCAGCTCGAAGAACTCTGGCTCTCACACCGAAATATAGTGTCCCAATCTCACTCCTATAAACATCTCCCTCTCGGCAGTAGATCTCGTAATCTCAAAATCAAATGTTTGTTTTAAACCAAGAAATTATATTTAGATCAACTGGCAACATTGGGCAATGCATTAGATATATAAGCATAATATATTAAAATAAATATTAAAACTATACTATAATAAAAAAAACAATTCTTTATGTAATCTCATTGAGGTGTGCCCCAAAAGTCTCAAGGCATATGCCTCAATGCAAATAGGCATAAACCTTAATAGTGGAAATGACGCGTAAGCCTCCATATACTTATTGTGCACAGGCACAACTTAAAAACATATGCCTTTTGTAAACGATTCGTCATACAGTCAACCTTAGTTAAACCTTTAAAGCATGAGCTTCTCCTTCTGAATCAATGTTCAGACTAGTTTCAAAACCTTGATAGATGGTATAATAAAATCACAGCCTCCAATTATTTAGCTAGCAGGTTCACTTACACTCAATTTTTTTATCATATATTCTTTTACACTAGAATACTCAATTTCACTGACAAATAGATCCTTTAGTGAGATTTCATAAAATATAGTTCCGACTGTTTTTCCAGGCCTTTTTCTTTGAGAGAAATATCATTTAAAAATCTATAACTTTAGTGTTCGTTTAGGACAGCTTTCTATCTGCATTAATTTTCAGACCGCCACCACAACTTTATTTGGGTAATTGCTTTCTTGTTGCTTTCCAGAAATTTCTATGATAGAAAGCTGTTTCTTTCAATTTAAAATGTTAAAGTGTGGTGGTTGACAGAAAACTGCAGTCTAACTTTTTAAAATTAAAATGCATTTGTAACTACACCACATCTTTCTGAACAACAACTTCTTCTGCAGTAAGTTCAAAGAAGCTACTTCTTCAAACCGCTGTAGCTACCCCAAATAAAACCTTAGAAAAATTATACCAAATAAAATCATACCAAATCATTGAAAAATGTTTAAAACCAAAATGAATTAAATAGAATTTAACTAAAAACATAAAATTACTTCTTTAAAATTTAATCTCTTATATCAAAAACCAAACTGAAACCAAACCTAACAACATAATTTGGATTGGTTTGATTTTTAAAAATAGAAGTTTGGTTTGGTTTCAAATTTGATAAGTTAGAATGGTATGATTTATTTTAATTAAAGGTTGCCTAGCATCTAATCGAACTGTGCAAACCAAAACCTTCAATGGCTAAGCATATAGTAATTTTTGTTGGTTTTAAACCTTTTTGAAGCCATAAGAAATTGGTTTCAAAATGCATCTTCTACCAGCACTAAGAAATCGTTATTCTCATTTATGAAATTCATCTAGCAATTCATTTTCCAAAATATGATTATAGATGTTAAGGAAAACGACAACAAACTAGGACAAAAAAAAATGAGGGAACAATGCAGAAGAGACATGGTGCCTTGTCATCTAGAGAAACTGGTAGCAAGTAATGGTGAATAAAAGCTGTTTCTCGTATTCATCCAAAATTAGATCAACTTAGATGAAATCATGTACATTGGATATGAAAACTTGTGAAATAAATTTAAAATGCTAGGCTAGCACAATCGGCTATTAGAAAAAAAAAAAGAAAAAAATATATAAATATGACCTAATACATAAGTGCCACGCAATGTAGGCACGGCGGGGTTGATGTATGTAGCCTTAACTAACACTGAAAAGAGGTGTGGTTTCTAATAGTCAAATCTACTGCACTGGCTGCCTAGTAAATGATGTGAACTATCAGTGCTAGGCACATAACTCTACCAAGAAACATTTGAAAACATAAATCAAAAAGATGCAAGAGAACTACAAAAGGGATAATGTTAGAAATATAATGTGGGATGAGCTCGGCCAGCAGCCTGACAATAATGTAAATGCCAATGCTTGTACCTAATACTATCAAAAAGAAATTAAAACGTCGAAATCTTATATATGAAAATAATTGAAGAGAGAGAAGTGAACAAATTAGTTCTATGCAGACTAGTCAGAAGGTCATACACTGAATATTTGGACATTAATAATGATTAAGATAGTTTTGCTTTCATTGAGAGTCTGGAACAACAGAAGTTGGGATTTAGGCCTCCCGCAGCACAAAGCAACAGATGTAGCGAAGTCAAAGGAAACAAAAGATAAATTTAAAAACAATTACAACTCCAACATGACAATTAAGACCAGCCTTATATTCCAAAAAAACATTTTTTGTTCAAGGTGGGGCTAAATTGTTAAGATCCATGATATTTTCATGACTTTAAACAATTGAGTAATTATAGAACAATATTCTCTCCTAAATGTCTAAGGAAGGCTCCCCTACTTGCACACTATATGGTAAATAGTAAAAATTATGATGAATTTTTTTTTTATAGAGAAGACCATGAACAAAATAAATTAAATGGAAAGGCAATCGACAGATGCTTAGGAACATATCACAAGGCTAGATAGTTTTTATTCTGGTTGAGTCTTTAGCTATTGTGAGGATTAAAACAAGTTAAACTTAATTCGTTGTTTGATTAAAATTAAAATGAGTCATCAACTGAAAAACATTTTAGGAGTTCTAATTTTCCTACATAAAGTTGGCCAAGGCTTCTTTTCGTCAACCATCAAGAAGCTACAAAAGAGTTTGGGACTCCATCAAAATTGTTGTCACAATGTTGGGCATTATTAGCCAACCAAGTACATTTTGAATTTGACCACCTAAACTTGGCATATCATCTTGAGCAGGCCTTTTTTCTGGCACTGTATTAAAAGTAGCCAGGTTCGTGCCAACTTCTCTAGACAAACTAAATCAACTTGCCATTGAATAGGTCAAATTCATGCAAAGTACTAGAAGCCAGAATCAAAATAAAAAATCTGTCCAGAAAAAAGTTAGTAAGATACATATTAGAAAGTTCTCTTATTGCAAAGTACACGCCTAAGCTCATTAATTTTAAAGGATAAAAAGCGCAGGTTAAAGAATTATGAGTTTCCTAACACTTGATTAATTATAGCATTTTAAGAAGTAGGACAGCTTTCATTTTTAAGTCACAGATTGCTACATGTTGACCATTAAATATTTTAAGGAACTAAAGTAAAAAAAATTAATAAAAATAAATCATTCCATTACTATTGCCGCGCCAGTAGACCCATAACCATTTGCACCGAGACCGCTCCTATTCGAAATAAATAAGCCACACGACAGGCTTCATAATGGCTCCCTCTCATTAGCACGTCTGAATCTCTATGTTGTGCTTACACTCAAATAGTTCATTTTTGAAAATCAATCAATCGAGTTGCCTTGTCATTGTCAAT